GTGGCGTAGCGTAGCGTTGGTGTGATTTGACGGTGATCTTGGCCCCCTGACCCGAGCCGACAACGCGACGCGCCCCTCTGGCCTTGCTTTACCCCCCGACGACCCTTTAGCAGGGCGGTTATTAAAGACCAGGCCGAGCACGGTGAGGCAGAGGTTGGGGGAGGGAGGGAGGGTAGGGTCGTCGTTGTCCCCGACGGCGCCGTGTGAAACTGCCAGGCCCGTCGGCGCGGAGGGTCGGCAAATGAGTGTTTATGTTGCCCTGCGGACGCCGGCCACACCGCACCTGTCGCCCTGCTGTCCGTATCGACGTGCAAAGCAAGCGCCGGCGGCTCCAAACCCCCGACCCCCACCCCATATACTATTACCTATCCTTTTATTCTCCACTTTCCTTCGTATAGCTGCGGCCCTTCCACCCCATAATATCTCTTTTCTCCTCGAGGCCGAGTCTCTAGGGGCATGCCAAATTTTACCCTTTACTTGCCTGTACTCATGTGCGCGGTACGGTAAACGACAGCCCGTCAGCGTTGCAACTCGATCGTTTTATACACCGCGTATTTACCGAGCACATCGCCTTTCTTTTTTACTATCTGTAGCTCATCCCCTTCTCTTACAACCGGCTCGTCTTTTTTATGCCCCCCCCTTTTTTACGGTAGAATGGGTCCGTTTATTCAGCCCCCGTGTTTGTGTAATTCGACACGTTGCTCGAGGGCGCAAGTCATGGTGGGTGGGGGTTGCCGACAGGTCTATCCACTCCCAGAATGGCCAAGCCTCGCCGAGCGCGCCAAGCCCGCTCCTTCTGCCACCGTCCGCTGAATAAGTGCGGATTCACCCTTACGGTGCCGTTTCGCCGCGCGGCGCTGGCTCAGGTGGTATGATCATACCGACGACGCGCGGTAGAAAATAAATTTTAAAAAGCGCTTTCCGACGCGGAAGTTTAGGTTGAATCGAGTGAAATCAGCTGCTGAATGAACTTTCTTTCCAGTCGAGTTGCTCCCTTTGCTCTTTTCATGTCTATAGCGCTGCCGGTGGCGGCTGCCGGGGTTGCCGCGCGGGGCGCATCGGGTTGCACGCTCGGGCGGGTACACTCACCCCTACCGTACCCGCTACCCGCTACCCCCGCGGGTGCCCGGGGCCCGGGGCCCTTTCCGCCTCCGGCCCTTGTGTTCCACCCGCGACCCACCTCACTGGGGCTGCGGGAGGGCCGCGCTATCGAACCAGAGGGGGGCTAAAGCGGGGCCCCCGCAGCAGCAGCATGGCGCGGCCCTGTGCGCTCCGGTCTGGCAGCCTTCCAGCCAAGGGATTCGCTGCCTCCGGTCCGGGAGCCCAAAGGGACACCTCCAGCGGCGCTGCTGTTGGCCTTGCCTGTCCTGTCGCATCCACAATCCACAAGCGGTATTCATTCATCATTCGCAATTTCTTGGGGGGAGTTTTATGTTTCGAAGTTAAATTTGTAGTTGGAGGAACTCGTGTTGTCTTTGTAAGGGTGGTTAGGACTAGGATGTTTTTAATCTTTTTCACAACATTGCGCGTGGGGAAGGGGGAATTTTTTTGAATTGGTCCAGGTCGTTGTCGACTGCCAGTAGAGGAAATCTTACTGTGTCAGATATGCGGGTACAGTACAGACACCCCCACACCAGCCACCACATCACAGCAGCCAGGAGCAGCTTGTGCGACTTGTGTAGGTCGAGAGGGTGGCGGCAAGGAGCATACGGCTCTGGCTCTGGAGGAGACGACGAGGGGGTGGGTGCGGCCGGGCGGGGCGCTCTCTGGAGGAGGAGGGGGGGGGGGCACTGGAGGTGGCGGGGCGGCTCTATACACCGCCGCCGTCCGCGACCCCA